GAGTTTGTAAAATTATCTACAAAAAGCTTCTAAGGTGGCATCGTGATCTGTGTGTATAGTAATGGGAATCAGTACTGGGAAATAACTTCTGTCAGCTCATTGCTTTAAAGGTTAAAGCTGGTAATTCTTGATATTTGTTATCCTCCATTAAACCCATGTAAACACCAAAACCATCAGTATTTTCCTCAAACTGCCATTCTCTGACTGTAACCTGACTGTGAGGACGATCCAAATATGAAAAAAACAAGTTTAACTGATCCTTAATTATGCCAGTGTTTTTATTTTTTAATCAAATATGACTCGAAGAAGAAAAAAAGTTGAATTTTATTCTGTTCAGAGCTGAATATTAATACACTGGTGAGTATTTACACAAGCAGGTCAGCAGATGTGCATCAACTCAAATGAACCGTACCCACGTCAGTGAGTGCCAAAGGTATCCCTAATTTCTGTGTTTTAAATAGTTTCTGGATAACAGTGGAGCTCAGATTCATAAGCTACTGAGCCTCAAATTGTGGGTGAACAGTTTTATTGTTGGTTTTGGTGCTTTTTGATCATCAGGTGATTGCAGGATAATATTAATGCATCTCATTATGTTATCAGATATTTATTTGTCACTGTGTGTCAACATTTGCTTATTTGTCACCTAAAAGTGTGCATTTTTAGCTTTGACCACATTATTGGCTCGGCACAGGCAACAGTTTTATGTTAACGCTGTTCACAGTTCCCTTTCTCTTTGAGTTGTTCTGACTGCGTTGTGAGACATAACGTCATGTCTGTCAAATATATGTACATATATATATATATATTTTCTGTGATCTGCTTTTGCTGCCAATTAAAATCCTTTTGCCATTGTTACAAAGCAATGTTGATGGTGTATTGTGTCAGATGCATGTAAATAAAACTAATAATAAAGCAGTCCTTCTTTATAATAAAAGAAAAATGGGAGAAAAAAGGAACGAATTTTAATTTGCAAAAACAATCAGTTTATTTCTCGTGCAGGTGGCAGAAATTATAAAAATGTGTAAAATAGGACCGATGTAGCGCAACTTACAGAGCATGTGACACCAGTGGCATGAATAAGCTATGAAACTAACAACAATAATCAAACAGGATTCAGTGATTCTTTAAGCATCTCTTAAGCACTGCACTAAAACCATAAATATATATATAGATATATATGAACTAAATGACCACAAGATGGCACTGCTGCCTCACTTGAATCACACACCAACTGCCACCTTGAGAGACAGAAATCCCATTTTGCTTATCTTGACTCTATGTGGAGTGTATGTGGCGTTATGCATTTAATCACAACTTCAGAGGCAGAATCTGTAGATGAAAGAATTCACACCTTGGCTGACAGACGGATGGTAATTTCACTCATGAATGGAGCATTTGATCAGGATCTGAATGGACTCCTGTGTTGATTCTCGTGTGTCTGCATCAACTCTGCGCCTTTCGAGACTTATAATGTACTTATCATACATAGGGAAATGCATCTGCGCTTTGCCTCAGAATGCAGGAGAGAGTGACACAATGTAAGGCATTGATTATTTGCGAGACTGACTTGGGCTTCACAGAAGGCTCTAATGATGGAGTTTCACACTTCCAAATTCTTGAAATTTCAAATGACTATCCCCACACAGAGTCCATCAAATTTGGCTCAGATTTATGAGAAGCCGCACTGAGGGAAAGCCCCCCTGCAGGTCACGAAAGGAGGCCCAGCATTGGTGGGCAAATGCTAATAAATTATGAGATAAGATCACAGGATTTGTCCTGTTTGAGGTTGCAGCAGTCTTTTCAGCCAAGTCTCCCTTAAGAAAGACATTTCTTATCTGGTGGACTTCCTGGTTTAAATGAAACCCTAATAAGATTAAAAAAAAAAGAGAAACTTTAATCATTTCTCTATCCATATCCAGGCGAGAGTGTGACGAAGAGAGAGAGAGGGAGGTGTAATGCAGGTGTGGAGCAGGCTACCTCCAGCAGCAGCAGGGCCTTGCAGTCAGTAATGTCATCAGAGTGGGAGTCCCAGCTGAATTCAGCACTGTTCTGCATGATTGCCCATGATAATTGTGTGTTGATAGGGAGCGCCGGAGATGGAGTATAATTTCCACCGAGAGATTCCTAAACAAATACCTGTGCTCAGCAGAGGGATGGAGTGCAGCAGGAGGTGAGGAGGAGAATAGTGGATGAGGGGAGATAGAGGATGAGAGGGTAACACTTTCAGAGAAGGGGGAGGAAGAGGAGGAGGAAGCAGTCACGCTGGAAGTGGTGGACAAAGTCCCTGGTTTTTAAGCCAGGGCCAGAGAATATGCTTTAAACTTAAAAACAAATTAGACCCAAATCTGTGACTTCCTGGCAGAACAGAACAGAAAAGCACAAAGAAAACATACAAACCTCTTTCAGATGGGCTTTAAAACATATAAACACTTTTTTTTCTACTTTAAATATTAATCCGTGTTATAGTTTTTCCACCTCGTTAAAAATTTGTAAAATTGTATTACATCAACGTCGTATATAGTTTAACCACTATGTCCTGACTATTATCAGTAAAATGTGAGTATAACTCGGTATAATTTACTTTGTCAGTGTACTCTGTGCACTGTAGGCAAGCTGCATATGGATGCAACTTTGATTGTATACTGGTTGAGTTTTTACACTCTTTCTAATGATCAGATACTATTTTTTATGCATATACGTATGGGCAAATGTCTCAAAACTTTCAACACAATAACCCTGAAACTGTAAAAACAAACCCACAAAAACATTACTCACTTTTACTGAGTCTTGTAAAATATAGTTTTTGATTTATCATGTTATCTCATGAGACTTTTAATTTCTCCTAGATGCCTGGGATTAGTTGGACCTAATAGCTAAAACTGAAACTAAACATGATCTTTGAGTAATTTCTGCTTTAAAATGTGCCTTATATGGGGACGAGGATAAACGAATACATATACCTGTTAAGAAATAAGGTCACTTTCATTAAGCAGAAAAAAAACTAAAATATAATGTTCCTCTATGAGGATGCAGGGTCTGCACTGATTACTTTAATTACAATGCTTGTGTAAATAGCATATAATACTACTATTATAAACGTTTAGTACTTTATGAAATGAAAAACACTGCTTAACTCTTTCCCCCAGACTTGGTGGCCTCCCCTGAACCCTTCACAACGAGATTTGACATCTCAGTTTATATGAATAAAAATGTGTTTTGACGATCATTAAAACAGGTTCCAGGTTGTTGCAAGAGTAGACATAGTAACCACTGAGTTCAGAAGAGAGAAACAAGGGTTATGCCTAGCTGTTGGAATAGCTGTTAAGCTTGGTCATACATGTAATAAATATTCAAATTTGCAATGTGTTATATATATAATATAATATACTATCAATACAAATAAGTGGAGAAAATATATATTTTTATTGTATTTCTAAATCCAACACCCTAAACATCCCTCACACAAAGCACAGTACAGACAGAGGTCTCGCCTTCTTTCATGAGATGATGTTTTGGAACATTTCCAGCATGGATGTTAATTCCTGGACCGCCTTACATGAGTAGTAGTTGCTAAGTATAACAATTTTTATTTAAAGTTTTGCTTTAAAATTAGTGTAAAGCAGAGAAGGTGCATTCACTGTAATGTCAATCCTCAGTGCAGCAGAGGAAAGCTGTATCCACAGGATTTTGGAAACATGTAATTACTATGTACTGATTTAGGGTGAGAGCAGAGACAAATTTCCATGCCTGCGTGTTCTATACAGCAAAGCTCCAATATCACAGGGAACAGTAAGGAACACACTGGTGAGACGAGGAGGACTTAAAGAGAAGAGAAAGAACAATAATTGTAAAAATCAAAAAAAGAAAAAAACAACGGTTATGAATAAAAAACTTGTTCGCCATTTTCAGGGTCCTGGAGTCTACTCTGATAGCAATTTTTGTTGGGTTTGTGTTTTATGGGCGCAGATTTTCCAGCAAATTCTGGATCCGATGGCCTCTGTGTTAGATTGTTATACATTTGCGTTTGCACTGGGATCAGAAAAGAAAATCTGCAGAGAGACATTACGAGACAGGTCCTCTTCTCGTCTGGTCAAGAAAAGAAGATGAGTTCGACTCTGAGTCAACACTTGTATATTTAACTTTGAGGGAGGTTTAAGTTAATTGGAAAACACTCTTTGCCTGAGTGCTCTCACCTAACGGCGCGTAAGTAGAGTTATCATAGCTTATCTTCCAAATGTATCATAATCCCACATGACATGCAAGTCAGATTTCATTTAAATCTGATTACTTTCAACTCTCAGAAAAAGCAAAGTATTTGAATTGCATGAACAATATGGCAAGTCATATTACACGCTGCTTTCCTCTTTAGAGATAGTTTTACATAATTTCCCATTCGTTTTGAAATAATGAATAGACAATGGGCTGTATAATTGTGAGAATTTACAATTCAGAGGACTACGTCGCATAATCACCATGCATAATTCAGCGGGCTGAGCACATAGGTCACCGGTGGCGGTGGCGCAAAAAGTAACTCGGGTCGTCAAACAAACAGTTGGAAATCTACACATTTATCCGTGTGCGGCTTGAAATGTTGAGCAGAAATCTCTGTGATGAGGCAACATATACCTTAAAGATCACACAGCAGATACGAGAAAGCGCACGCACAGCATCCAATTATCTACACACCTCTGATGTGACTTCATTCAGCGGTGAGATTGTTTCAATAGAGACTGTAACTTCAGAGGAACTCGGCGATGTGTAAAGAGGCCCTAGCAGTATAAAAACGGTTATTACATTGTTGGCCAGTGAAAGCTACACCTGTATTGAGTGGATCCCTTCTGCCCCTCCAACGTCCTCTGGCCTCACACCTCAGTTTGTGCATATAAATTACATTCCAAAGTGTGTATGGATAGCCCTTGTTCATACCCAAGGTCTCTTGTTTCAAAGGCATGCTAATGTCTTTCACAGTGAAACTCCTCTCAGCGGCTCTCTTCTAACTGCCAGAGCAACTGTGTAGGAGATGATTGGATGATCTTTAGTCATCTTTGCACATGAATATTCAGACATTTTAATGGCACATATGTAACCACACATCCTAAACAAAGAAGGATTCAGTTCACAGTGTTTCCCTTTTTTCCCCTCCTTTTACTTCCTTTCCCTTAAAACATTGTATGCTTGTGTTAATTGCTAAATGAATCTTTCAGTACACTCCTGCGCTATTTGAAAGATTCACAATGTGTTAGCGCTTGCTAGTTACGCACTTATCGCTTTCTTGTTCTTTGGGCGTCCTGTGTTTCAGCATCGAGGAGTTCAGCTCTGTATTTGGGTTTAGCGTCCCCTCAAGCAATTAATTAATGCTACAGTGGAAACAGCCGATGGATTTGGTCATGAATATTCAGTTCTACCTCTTGCATATCATTTCTTATGCAGCATTGTAACACTGCACTTTGGCGAGGCAGCCATCAGGGCTTCCAAGTCAGTGGAGACGGGGAGTTTGTATGGTTCATATCTGCCCTTGTGTGAACAGTATAGCTGTTTCCTGCTGTGCACGACAAACCCAGAGTTAACACGATGTCAGTGTGAAATAATATTGCGTTCTAATGTGACTAATTTTATACTTTATTAGTGAAGCTAGTTTTTCCTTTGTTACTAAATGCACCTTCCTTTGCTTTATACTTAACATTACATAATTATTTAAATTATATAATTACTTTCCTTAAGAAAAGATCAACTGAGACAAGGTTCATTCCACTTTAAAATTTATTCTTAACATTTAAGTTGTTTTTTTTCTTAAATTGCTTCTACAACAGTAAATAAATAAAGTATTTGTTTAAAGTTTAAGATCTGGTTTTTTTTTGACACA